TTGGCTGTGCTGCTGCCAGCTCTGCCAGCTTAGCAGCTGGGGAGCTCATGCCCTGGTTAACCCCTGCTGTGAAGGCCTGGTCTGAAATGCCCTGGGTGTGCTTGCCCCTCCCCCCTGCTACCAGTGGTGTACGGAGTGGTGTGACCACTGTCCCAGCCAGCTGTCAGTGCCAGGGCCATGCTGGTACCACACCTTCCCCGTCACATGGGGGCCCATGCAGCAGAGCCCCTTGTGCACTGACTGATGGATGGCATGAGGCAGGCAGCTCTAGAGCTGGGTGCTGGAAATCAGGTCAGGGGGAGGAGTCTGCGTCCCTAAATTACATGCCAGGTCCCCCTCCTCCCAGCCTGATAAATTAGAGAAAATGCTTTAATTGTTGCTGGGCAGCTCCTAGATCCAGCCTGCCGTGCTCCCAGGCACCTCTGTGGGGCTTCCCCTCTGTGGGGTGTTGTGAGACTTCCTAAGCCAACCCTTCACCTCTGTGTCTGCCCAGAGCCATTATTCCCTGGGAACAGCTCTTTGCTTGGGGAACTGCACACTCCTCACAGACAGCACCTCTAGTTTTATTCCCTGCAGCAAATCTTGCTTTAGGGCTGCAGCAGCTGTGATCTCACCACGTTCCCTGCAGAGGATCCCGCTGGGAGATGCTGGTGCCTGTCGTGCCTCCTGCTGGGAGTAGCCACCCCCGATCTCCCCCATCCTGAGCTTCCTGGCAGTGTCCCTGTTTGAGCTCAAGCTAGATTCCTTCTTTGTGGGGTGGCTAGGGAAGGAGGAGCTGGGGGCTCTCTGCAGACCTTGGTGCTTACACCACGGCCTGCAGTGTCTCTGGCTGCAGCAGCTCTGAGCTCTAACACTGCTGGCCAGATGCTGTGACTGCTGTGGCAGATTGGTGCTAAAAATAGCCTTCTGTGCAGCAACTTCTCTGGGGAAGATGTGGGCAAATGTGGCTGAAATCCCTCCTACAGGGCTAATATAGGTGCCATGACTTAAAGGAAAAGTATACCTGCTTGTGGAGTTGCAGTGGGGAAAGGAGCTGGACCCTTAGCTGTCTCCGGCCCCTTTAAACCAGTAACTCTCCCTGGTGGAGAGGAGAACAGGGTTACAATGGTCACGATGGTTCTTGTGAAGGATGTGTCAGTGCTGATATCTGGTGCTAGGCATTGCCTGCCTGCCTGCCTGTCTGCTGCAGACAAGGTTCTTTAAGTAAATCTGATATCTTTTATTAGACCAACTAAATAGTTGGAAAAAAATTTCTTAGGAAGCTTTTGGGTTTAAAAACCCTTTCTTTGTCAGGCTGAGGAAGCATCTGCAGTTGGTGTGTGCTCTATTTAGTTGGTCTAGCAAAAGATACCAGATTTACCCAAATAACCTTGTCTGCCTATGTCATTAGACCAACACAGTTACAACCTACATGTCTGTCTGCTGCTGCATTGGGGAACAGCACTGTCACTGCTACATCTCTGCTGCTGAGTGGCAGAGGGGGAGGCCTGGAGCCCAGTCCAGGCACCCACCCTTCACCCAGGCACTGTGCTACCTGGTGCTAACTGTAATCTTGGTGGGGACTTCAGCCCTTGGGACTACATGCACTAAGCAGGGAGAGCATAGACAGAACAAGCTCCCCCAGTGCCCTGCCATCTGACTGGAGTCCTCCAGGCTTGCAAGGGAGCAGTCATTTCTGCACTCTATGCAGAGGCATGTAGGTGTAGTGGGGGCTGGGGTGTGTCTGGCTGCCTCCAGACAGGTCCATATTAAGTCCCAGGGTTGGCCAGTGTCTGAGTCCTGCATGTGCGGCTAGTGACAGAGAAGCAACCAAATGCCAGCTGTCTGTGCCCTGGATGAGGGTTCCTTCCCTGCTTGCTTTGTGCCAGACCTGGGGCTGCAGTCTGTCTGCCCAGGAATGAGTCTGGGAAGGCTGGAGTCCCAGGAGGGGGCAGATATCTTGTTCCCAGGGTGGGTCAGATCCAGTTGCCTATGCTTGAGGGGTGAAGGGAGAGCAGGGAATACCAGCTTGCTGCTGCATCTTCCTACCCAGAGCACATGGAGGCTGTTGAGGATTTTTAGGGAGGTGTGAATTCAGAAGCTATTTTGGCACTTGTGAAAGTGAGGATTTGATTGCATTAACTTAAAACAGTGCCCTGTTAAAAGATGTTTGAACAATGTTTCCAAAGCACCTGTGTCTGGGCCTCAGGTTCCCCCACCTCCTCCTTTTACTGTAGACATGGGCTCCCCAGCTTCTCCAAAGTGCTTCAGTACCAGCCTGTAGTTTATGGGTATTCCCAGCCAGTCCTTAATGCTTCTGGTCCTCCTTCCCTACCTATGTGTGCTTACATGCATGCATGCGCACACACACACACACACACAGACGTGCACACTGCCTTTGCTTGCCAGTCTTCCCTGGCCTCCTGAGCAACAACTACTGTATATGAAGATGCTCCCTTGCTGGCTTTTCCATGACCCTGTGCCCAGAACAGTGACCTTCCTGTGCTCTCCTCTCCATGTGCCACTCTAAAAATGGAGAGAGTAGCCTAAACTTGGAGGTGTCCCTGCATCCACACAGTGCACAGAGATGGAGATTGGATTTCTGTCTTGTTGTCAAGTGAGTTGGAAAACCAGATACCAAAGCAGCTTGTGCCCTGATGAAAGGAGGTGTGCTTTTGGGGTTGCTGCTGGAACAGTTTTTCTGCTTTTCCTGCAAAGCTATGGAGACTCCCCCTGCCCTTATGCATCTAGATTTCTGTGGTTAGCCTGGCCTACCAGAGATACACGTATGCTCTTGATGATGCCTCACCTGAGAAAGCAGTGCTTTAGAGCACTCAGTTCCCTGTCTAGTGTAGGTCACAATTTGCTGACAATTACTGCTTCTCTCTGCCTGACCATAGATCCAGTATTGAAGACAGCACCTCTGCTGACCCACTGGGTTAGCTTCAGGTTCAGTGCAGCCTTGGAGCACTGTGGGAATCTGAGGACTGAACACTTCCCTGTTGGGCTCCACAGTGTGTGCACTTGCAACAGGAATTGCTTCATTTGGTGCAGCTGCAGCTGGAGTACTGCGTCCAGTTTTGGGCTCCACAATTCAAAAAGGATGTGAAGAAGCTTGAGAGAGTCCAGAGAAGAACCACGCGCATGATCAGAGGTCAGGAAAGCAGACCTTACCACAACAGGCTGAGAGCCATGGGGCTCTTTAGCCTGGAAAAG